ATAAATAATAAATGGGCTAATCTCTGTGGTAATGCTTAAAGTTGAAAGTGCCACCTACCTAGTACTAATTTCAGTGGGATTCTTTTGTTTACAAGTAGCAGAAGCCCAGCTCAAAGGTTCTAAGATGAGAGTAAATTATTGACTCGTGTGATTGCAAAGTCCAGGGCCACAGGAGGCTTCAGCTACAGTTGGATTCAGGAGCTCAGTGTTCCCATGGATGCAGTCTTTGTACGTCAGCTTTCTCTCCCTACTCTAGTAGTGGAGAATCTGAGCCTGGTGATATTGGCCCAGCTTGAATCTTAAGTTCAACCTGTAGCAAAAGAAGGTGGCTTCTCTGACTGGCTTAGCCATGATGGGTTTGCATGCTTACCCTTGGAGTTGTGGGAGGCAGGTTTCTGCCACCACTCCCCTGGAATATTTTTGCTAGCCACTAGGTGAGACCAGTTTGGCTACACAATGGGGTGGGGTGAAAATTGATCTGTGACAGTAAATTGGGCCAGACTGGGGTCTCCCAAGATGTGAGTCCTGCTCCTAGACTTCCCAGCCTCCTCCACACTGGCATAGGAATGTGCTTCCCAGGTCTTTGATCTGATGTTGCCTCTTCTTCTCAGGCATTCCTGGTCTATGCCGCAGGGGTCTACTCCAACATGGGCAACTATAAATCCTTTGGAGACACCAAGTTTGTTCCCAACTTGCCCAAGGTGAGCTGAGGGGTGCTGGGGAGGGCAAACGCTGGGGTTGGAGAAGGCTGAAGAGATGCTAGCTCTTCAGTGATGCGAAGAGTCAGCGATGCGAAGCAGAGCTGTGGCCCTGTCACTGCTACACTATGACCATGAGTGTCACCCAGCCTCACCAAGTGCTGCAGATGCACATGAAGGAAAAACACAGTTCTTCCAGACTGTTGATCAGGGGGTCAAACAAGGTCAGGTTGTAGAAGTGTGAACTGTTGGATGCTTACAAGAATGGAGCCCTTTAATTGTCACAGAGGAAACCTGGGTCTGCAGCATCCCTCCCAGAGACTATGAGGAATGAGCCTGAGTGGGGCAGATGTCGCCCACACAGTAGGGCTTCTCAGATATTAATGCCTGCATAAGTTTCCGGGTAATGTTGAAATGCAGGGTCTGATTTGGCAGGTCCATGGGTGGCCAGAGGTTCCGCTTTTCCCAGGGCCTGCCAATGCAGCTGCTTCCTGGGCTCCATGTGATCTTAGACTCAGGGGAGCTTGGGAGCAGAGGGAGGCTCTGCAGGACAGGTTTGGAAGGCATATGGCCAGGCCATTGACTTCACTTCCTCTTGCAGGAGAAGCTGGAACGTGTGATCCTGGGGAGTAAGGCTGCCCAGCAGCAGCCAGAGGAAGTCAGGGAACTCTGGCAGACCTGTGGGGAGCTTATGTTCTCTCTGGAGCCAAGACTTCGACACCTTGGGCTGGGGAAGGAGGTGAGTTTGGTAGAGAGGAGGGCATCCTTTGAGGCCAGGCCCCCTGATATGGATGGAAGGGCATTGGCGGGGGAAGCTCTTCCACTCCCTCTCGAGCCAAAGCTACTTGGCATTGCAGGCCTGCTTTGTCATCTGTAAAGCGGAAGCAGTCTAGATGGACTACTTTAAGAATGCTTTTCCAGGGGGCTGGAGAGATGGCTCCATGGTTAAGAGCACTGGCAGCTCTTGCAGAGGACCCGAGTTTGATTCCCAGCGTTCACATGGCAGCTAACAGCCATCTCTAACTCTAGGTCCAGGGGAATCTGATGCCCTCTTCTGACCTCCATGGGCATTGCATGACACAGGTGCATTTACATACATGCAGGCAAATTGTGTATACACATAAAACAAATTGGAGACTGATTACTACTGGGTGAGGGAGAGTAGGCCATAAAAATGGTCTCTAGATGGGCTGACTAGATTCCAGTGGATGAATTTGCACCAAAGGACATCTGGATACAAACACTTGACTGGATAGTACTTAACATGTATGGTGGAATACATGAGGTCCAGTGGGGGAGGTGGAGGGCATAGTTGGGGGAAGGGGTCTAAATTTGATTAAGAATTGTTATATGGGGGGCTGGAGAGATGGCTCAGTGGTTAAGAACACTGACTGTTCTTGCAGAAGACCCAGGTTCGAATCCCAGCACGGCAGCTAACAACTGTCCGTAACTCCAGTTCCAGGGGATCTGACAGCCTCCTCTGTCCTCCTTGGGCATTGCACGACGTGGGTGCACTTACCTACGCGCAGCCATAACACTCATACACATAAAATAAAAATAATAAATAAAAGCCGGGCGTGGTGGCGCACGCCTTTAATCCCAGCACTCG